TCTTCTGTCTCAGCCTCCCAAGTAGCTGGGACCACAGGCGCCTGCCACAACACCCGGCTATTTTTTTGTTGCAGCCATTATTGTTGTTTGGCAGGCCCAGGCTGGATTCGAACCCGCCACCTTAGGTGTATGTGGCTGGCACCTTAGCCGCTTGAGCCACAGGCGCTGAGCCGAGTACGCACCTCTTTAAAGCCTAGGCAATACAAAGGTATTTAGCTGGAACTTTCCAGTGAGAGCATCCAACTCCTAAAATTTTGTTTTAATCAAAACCATTCACCCTCAACTAAAAAAAAAAAAAATTTTGGCTCAAAAATGGCCTCAATAAAAAAACCATGGTTTTGCCTCGGCACCTGTAGCACAATGGTTACAGCACCAGCCACATACACCAGGGCTGGCAGGTTCAAACCCAGCCCAGGCCTGCTGAACAATGACAGCTGTAACAAAAAATAGGCATTGCAGTGCCTGTAGTCCCAGCTACTTTGGAAACTGAGGCAAGAGAATTGCTTAAGCCCAAGAGTTTGAGGTTGCTGTGAGCTATGACACCACTGCACTCTACGAGGGCAATAAAATGAGATTCTGTCTCAAAAATAATAAAAATAGCCAGGTGTTGTGGCAGGCACCTATAGTCCCAGCTACTTGGGAGGCCAAGGCAAGAGGATCCCTCAAGCCTAAGAGTTTGAGGTTGCTGTGTTCTATGATGCCATGGCACTCTATCAAGGGTGACAAAGTGAGACTCTGTCTCTTAAAAAAAAACAAACTGTAGTTTAAATCAAAATAAAGTCTAGATAGTATGGGGCTATGTCCTCCCCCTTCCTACAGACATATTAATATCCCAGTTCATGTTTTATATTACAAAGTTTTTTTCCTACTTCCCATAACCCTTCTTGGTATACTTTGTCTTTTTTTTTCGAAACATAATCTTACTGTGGCCCTAGAGTGCCATGGCACCATAGCTCACAGTAACACCAAATTCCTAGGCTCAGCTGAGTGCAGTGGTTCTTGCCTGTAATCCTAGCACTCTGGGAGGCCGAGGTGGGTGGATTGCCTGAACTCACAGGTTTGAGACCACCCAGAGCAAGAGTGAGACCCCATCTCTAAAAATAGCTGGGCATTGTGGTGGGCGCCTGTAGTCCCAGCTACTCGGGAGGCTGAGGCAAGAGAATTGCTTGATCCCAAAAGTTTGAGGTTGCTGTGAGCCAGCAGTTCTCAACCTGTGGGTCACAACCCACAGGAACTGTATTAAAGGGCCACAGCATTAGGAAGGTTGAGAACCACTGCTGTGAGGTATGACAGTATGGCACTCTACAGAGGGTGACAAAGTGAAACTCGTGTCTCAAAAAAAAAAAAAAAAAAAACTCCTGCGCTTAGGGATCCTCCTGCCTCACCCTCCTGAGTAGCTGGGACTACAGGCACCTGCCACAATGTCCTGCCAGTTTTTCTATTTTTAGTGGAGATGGAGTCTCACCCTTGCTCAGGCTGATCTAGAACTCCTGAACTCAAGTGATCCACTCACCTTGGCCTCCCAGAGCTAAGAGCTAGAATTACAGGCATGAGCCACCGTGCCAAGCAACTTTGTCTTCTTTAAGCAGTCGTGGTTGACTGAAGGTATAACATGCTGACTATGGCTTCTAAGTATCACCTGTAGAAGACTGGAGGCTGCTATGGCTCCTCCAGAGGGTGACATGCATTCACTACCTTGGACCATGCACCAGACTTCTAACACTTTGACTTTGGGTGACAGATGTGCTCACTGTATACAACTGCAGTGGGTCCTATGAGCATGGGACTGACATCTTCCCCCTGTGGCGTCTCATTCTGCAGGTGCCTTATTAAGTGGCTGGAGGTTCGGAAAGTGTGTCCCCTATGCAACATGCCAGTTCTGCAGCTGGCCCAGTTGCACAGTAAGCAGGACCGTGGACCACCCCAGGGGCCCCTCCCTGGGGCAGAGAACATTGTATAGCTCACCACAGGGATCAGACTGTTGCTGGATACAATGTCCACATGGAGCCAGGAGGAATACAAGCGGTCTCTGTATTGGCAGCCCTCTACCTGGGGTACCAGCTGCCATTTCCTTTGCCTCATGAAGAACTCTTGGGCCAGCCAAGCTGGGAACCTAAGCATCTGGGTCTGTGACTACCAAAGCACTCTGACACCACCCCCTGCCAAGAGAAGAGGAATGGATGAGCCTGTGGGTTTGTCTCAGACTTCCCAAGGGTCTCTTACTAATTCCATTACACTGTGTCCCAGACCCTCATCTCCATGTCAAGTAGAAGGGGAGAGAAATGAGAGGTAAAGAAGGGAGCTGAGGGCAGGTCTTTAAAGCTGCACCCCTACCCCGTGGACAGATGAAGATGAGCTTCTGTGCAGGCCCTTCCTGGCAGCCCTTGAATCCAAGTAAACCAGCACAACCAGCTGCCAGTGGTTGGTGAGGCAGTGCCAACAAGGCTCACATTATGCTTCTTTAAGTCCATCTTGGAACCAAAAGGCTTTGGGTACAGCCAAGCAGCAGTGCCCCTCTCCACCCCTGTTCCCTCAAGATCACAGCACCTGCTATCAAATCATCTAAGCTGGAAACATTAGACATGCTTGAAAAGGCCTGTTCAGAAGCCATTTCCTCTTGTCATCACCCACCCACCCCAGGCCTCAGTGAGGCCTGTCAGGAGCCCCACTGTCCCTATGTGACCCAGGGGACCCCAGGGCACTACATATATCCCCATATGTGCAGTGTGGTTCCAGCGTCACCCAGTCTGGGCCCACTGCCTTGGGAGGGTGCCACTGTGAGCCCTTCCTATGGCTCAGAAGAGGAGCATCTTCTTGAGAGGGGCCCATGCTCCCAGCCCTGCTGGGTGAGGAGGGTACTGGCCCTTTGCCTCTCCTTTCTTCCTTAACCTTTGTTCTCTTCCCTCTCCTGCCCTGTGTTTCTCCTTAAAATATCTGTTGCTCACATTTTATCCCAAATAAGATCCCTATATAATTCTGAAGCCAGTGGTCCACTTGAAATTGTACATAGTTTCAGGAAGCTCCTGCAGGGCTGTCCACTCACTGGTGTGTGCCTCAATATTTGGACTTGAGATAGCAAACCGAAAGTCTTTATGGGAGAGAAATGCATGCTGCTTTTTAGCTCTGTCAAGCCTTTCTAGAAATGACTCAGAGTTCATTAGGATTTGTGAATATTGTGTAAATTAGCTATGGAAAGCAGCAGTGGGTCAAATAGAAAGTTCTTTTCTACAGCCTGGCTCTCCACCTCCCTCCAACATAGGAATGCCTCAACTCTGCATCAGTGGCTTTCCTCCAGTCCAGAGGTGTAAATGGGGCAAGTTTTTCATTGGAAATACTGTCTGTGTGACAGGGAAAGGACTGACTGAGGAGGTTGGCTACCCTGGCATGTCTCCAGGAGGTTTTTTTACCATTTTAGGAAAGGGAACCTATCTATGGCTTAGGTGGCTGGCTGGGATCAGATGAGGTGGAAAATTCCCATTAGCCTAGGAAAATGCTGGGCAGAATCCAGTTTGGAAACTTACAAATCCAGTTGGTCAGAACCGGCAGTTTCCTATGTGTGACCTACTCGTGGTATGCCAACTGGACAGCCTCCTAAGAAGGGCAAGCAAAATGCGGAATATTTTTATATGAAAGCTGTAGCTGATCTGGCACTCATATAGAGAACTGTACACTCCTAATTTCACCCTTTTTGCACCTTTTGTGGCATAAGAGTTGAATGCTGCAAAATACCCAGCCAACAGTGAACTGTTTTCAATGGCCAATGTCAGCAAGTAGGCTTGCTTCTGACTAGCCTCATTGATAGCCAACATCTACTATTTTCCATGGAATGGCCTTGGACAGATGTTACATGTTTGTTATTGGGGCTCCAATAGGGAAAATAAATTTTTCCTCCTTAAAAGAGTAATTTCCGGCTCGGCGCCTATAGCTCAACCGGCTAAGGCGCCAGCCACGTACACCTAAGGTGGCGGGTTCGAATCCCCAGCCCGGACCCGCCAAACAACAATGACGGCTGCAACCAAAAAATAGCCGGGCGTTGTGGCGGGCGCCTGTGGTCCCAGCTACTTGGGAGGCGGAGGCAGGAGACTCGCTTGAGCCCAGGAGTTGGAGGTTGCTGTGAGCTGTAATGCCACGGCACTCTACCCAGGGGGACAGCTTGAGGCTCTGTCTCAAAAAAAAAAAAAAAAAAAAAAGAGTAATTTCCTATTAATCTATACTACAAATCATTGCTGCTCACAGCTTTTGTAGGATTTCAGACTTTTCAGTTGCAGGCTTTCTTTTTCCCTGTATGTTGGTACCAAGGAGACAGCCCAACCCAGTCCCTGTGTTGGAACAGAGGCAAATTATCTCACTGTGTTAGAGCTACAGGTGAGCTAAGGTGACTGGTGTGCAGCACTGGCCCTCTGCATCAGAGGCCGTTAGAGGAAAGCACAGGAACTCTGCAGTCAGCACTGGGCACCATCTTGGGTCGGCTTTGCATGGATGAGGCGCCACTGACATGACGATCACAGCAAATGTGAGTGTGGAGTGCTTGTTAAAATGCACTCCTTTTGCTAAAATTGAGCAGGAAGCTGGAGCTGTGAGAATATTCTATCCTCTCAGTCATCTCCCCTTTCTTGGCTTGGTGTATTTCTATACCAGGCCCACTATTATTCACGGTTTCTGCAACTCTTAATGACACAACTTGATTGTATTTGCTTCCCACATCTGGGTCCTCCACTAGGACTTTCCTGTACCTCTGCACTGGTGTGTCTGCAGAAGGCCTTTTAATTTACATCTTTTAATTCTCATTAAAATCAGTTTTTTGTTTGAAGGACAGTCCATCCAGTTTGGTGGGTTTGAGAATGAGTTAGGGATCCTTAAATATACTCTTTTGGCTCAGACTCAGAACACCTCAGTGGGGCCATCCTGCCCACATCTGTCTCTGTAAGTTACTGGGACCTACTGGTAATGTGTAGGGGACTCTGCTGTTGGATCACTGGCTGGTATACTTGGTCTTTATGTGTCTAAGCAACTCAGAACGAGTGCACTGCTGTGAGGAGAGTTAGTGTAAAGCAGGGGTCCTCAAACTTTTTAAACAGGGGGCTGGTTCACTGTCCCTCGGACCGTTGGAGGGCTGGACTGCAGGCCCCAGGACGAGTCGGCTGCTAAGCAGGACAGGCAGCGGCAGCAAAAACACCAGGCCGGATAAATGTCCTAGGTGGGCTGCAGTTTGAGGACACCTGGTGTAAAGTAACCCCTTATAAGATTTCATGGGCAGGAAGGGGACAGTTGAATTCATGTGGCTTTAGAAAAATGGAGCAAAATCAGCCCGACCCTTAAATGTTAACATCTGCTCTTTTCTTTGCTAACTGTGATTTTAAGCCTGTTTATGGCAGATGAGGTGCTTTTAATGGATTCTTACCTAACCAGGGAAGAAAACAAGACAAATGACCTAGTGCAGGGCATGTTGCCCCTGTGAAGACCTGGGTTGAGGGATACAGGGGATCTCCCATCATTGCTAAATACCCTGTTCTTGACAAAAAAGATCCTTTTTTCCCAGCACTCAGCCTCTTAAGTCTATCAGAGGAATGGCCTTGGGCCTTGTCCCTTTTCACAGGCCCACTTCAAAGTAGGACATATTCCTGGCCTGAACCCAGTCTAAGCTGCTTTGAATGACGGTCAGAGTTACTTCCCAGAGAGGCTTTCTGGAAGTTATGAAGTGGACATGGGGAAGTACCCCCAAAGCTTGAGACAGAACAAGCGCCTGGAGTGGTGAGTCGCCTCTTTGCCACTTGCTAGCCTTGCAACTTTCTGCAGGTTAGCCTCTGAAAACAGTTCCTTACCTACCACAGGGATTATGAAACAATGTCCTTCCCACCTCTTATGGGATTAGCCAATGTCCAGAGCCAGTTGGGCAGCAGGCCTGGTGTCACAGCACTGTCGATACCACATACTGTCATCCAGGTCACATGGGCCTCTGCTGTCAAGTAGAAATGGAATCTCCACCAGACTTTTGAGCCACAGGGGCCTTCCCTAGGGGGTCAGGTTCACCTGGCTCTCCTCTCCTTGATCTTCCTTAGTCATCTCAATCTCCATTGCTCACAGTGTACTCTGACTTGGTTGCTCACTGCTGAGTATTCCTGTCTTAATTTTTCAACTAGGTAGTCCATTCACATGGTCTTGACACAAAGGGGTTGAAAACCTTGCATTCCTGACCCCTGCTCCCCACCGGAAGCCTAACTTCTCACCCCATTTGTTCCTTGGATATCCTCCCAGCTTACTTATGTATATACACACATACATATGTATATGCAATTTTTCTCATTTTTTACTAGTGATACTAGGTAAGTATATTCAAGGAACACCTGCCTGGGCTGAGAGATGCAGGGGACTTCCTACCACTGCCCTCCCAGACATCAGTGTATCGGTAAAATTCTGTGACCCGAGGATTGGGGAGATGTTTTACAGTCACATTTCTTTTGAGTAAGACATGTTTACTTGATTGCAACATAATGGAATTCTAGGTTTCTACAACAATTAGAAACTGAAATTCCTCCATTACTGCAAAATGCCTAATTATGAAAGCAAAATCAGATCTTTCCAGGTTTTTTCTGTGACAAGATGCTCAAGAGCAGGCTACTTCCCCAGAACTGAGGTGCCAGTGCAGGTGCCCAGACAAACTGCTGTCTTCCATCTTGGCCAATTCCAAATGAGGGTCGAGTCCAGTGGTAAAGTCTGGCCTCAGCTATCAGGCAAGTTCCTGTGCTCTCGAGGCAGGAGTCTGAGCAGCAACAACTGAAAGCTGCTCTTTGGTGAGGCAAATGTCTCAGCTACAGAGCTGGGAAGCAAACCTCATGATCAACTATAGATACAGCAGTGCCAGGTTTTGTTTAAGGCAGAGTCTATTTTTAGTAGACGCTGGTCTGGAACTCTAGTGTTCAAGTAATAATCCTGCTTGGCCTCCTAGAGTGCCAGGATCACAGGCATGAGCCAAAATTTTTTTACGGAATTTTCTTCTCACCTTTTTTCTACTTGAAAACAGAAATTAATCTTAAGTTTTAATTTTGGTCCTCATAGGAAAGTTTAATTGAGCTGCTTCCTCCAGGCAGCCCCAGCCCGAGGCAAGGCCTCACTTACCTCTCTGGCATCCAGTGGCAGCCTAGGTCTTTACCTGGACTAAAACTGTCCCCCAACTTGAAACTCAAGAAACTGTGTGTAAACCCACCCTTCCAGCACGGAACCTCCCTCTGGCCCTCAGTGTAGCTGTTTAATCTAGACTTATTCATCTTGATAATTTCACAAAATGTGCAACTGGGAACTTGGAAAGTGCTGGGTCATGGCTCTTTAAGTGAGATTAACAAAGGATCCCATATGCCACTTGAGTGGGCATACCAGGAGAAAAACAGAGGGCCTTGTTCAGTAGATCTTCTTCCTATTTAGCTTTAGAGCCCAAATTCCTACAAGACAG